GGGAGTGGATATGTCGCTGAATAGCGCGGATCCTCCGCTCCCAGGTTCGTCCTGTGAATCTGCGATCATATCCATCACCGCAGGAAGAGCCATCAATCCATTGGATCCCTCTGAGCTGCTGTTCCCAAAAGTTGCAGTACTTGGGCTCGCTGAAGATGCCATTGTACTGTGTAGGTTATTGTTCCTTTACTGTCCCTGTACCCGCAATAAACCAGCTGTCTCTCTGTCCAGTGTAGAGCTTGTCGATACGGCTGATAACCTGTCAAGAGACGGCAAGGTGACGTCCCGTGGGACGCTGTGCACCGAACCCTCCAGCTGTAATACCAACCACGTAGAAAGGTGTATACGGTCAAGCCGTTATAGCCGAACCCGTGTAAACGTTGTAAGGGAGAAGGAATAATAGTTACAACAGTGGTCCTGACAAATGCAGCGCAAGCGAAGTGTTTTCCGCTCTCAATGCCAATCACGTGTGAACGCAGCTACACATCAGATCTTGAACCTCAATCGTGTCTTGAGCCAAATGGCGATCAATGGAACTTGGTAAGCAACACTAACACAGACCTCAGAACTGCTTCCCAATTTAGGCACGGGGCCTAGAGGGTTTTAACAGTTGGAATCAACTTGCAACCAGCACGCGGAAAGAAACTCCTTTCACATGTGGAAATGGTTCCCCGCGTTGCAGAAGAACGCTGGTAATGTTGACCCTGTATTAATAATCCCCCCCCTATTAGTCCGGTCCGGGTGGACCCCCCCAATACTAAACAATTCATATCTCAGAAAATACCCCCCAAATAAAAAATCATGCAAAACAACCCCCCCCAATTAGACCGGTCCCTCCCCCAGATGGCTGCTGCTATCTCATTTTCTCCACTGCTTCTTGAGCTCATTACAATGTAAACTGTTTTTTGGTGCTAGCTGATGCTGCTGATGTTGAATCGACTCATGCTGCTTGCCATGCTTTCTCTGAATGGTGTGCTGAAAAGGTGCTTTGTCTCAAATGGGCTCATGCTTTCTTCTTGTACCTTTCTCTTCATGCTGCTGCCTTGCTTAGGGCTCTCATCTCCACCTCCTACTCTCATCTTGAAGCTTGGTGGATACTTTTGGGCCTGCCGCAACCACAAACACAAAAAGTGTTCTGAGATTGCCGATTTCTTATTAAATTCTTTACTAAACAAATCAAGTTTAGAAGGTTTCAAAGAGCACCCCACATTGGCCCCTAACACCACCAATTAATAATCCCCCCCCCTAACTAGTGCGGTCCATCGGCCCCACCCCCCAAAGGAAGCTCCAGCAAAATTCTAAATCAAATGGAAACTCAATTCCAGATCTCAAAAGGAAGCTCCAGCAATACTAAATCAAATGGAAACTCAATTCCAGATCTCAAAAGGAAGCCCCAGCAATACTAAATCAAATGGAAACTCAATTCCAGATCTCAAAAGGAAGCCCCAGCAATACTAAATCAAATGGAAACTCAATTCCAGATCTCAAAAGGAAGCCCCAGCAATACTACATCAAATGGAAACTCAATTCCAGATCTCAAAAGGGAGCTATTTAGGGGGGGTGGCAAAAAGTCTTCCCCCCCAAAACCTTCCCGACCTTCGAAGGGGGGGGGGTTACATACTAATACGGGGTCAACATTACCGAAAGGGGCCTGCTTACAAGTCAGGGTGTGTTTCCCTGTCCCCGGAACTTGGTCTTGTTCTCCATGCCATGGGATGGCATTGCTCAAACCTCACTGTTTGGCTCACTCGAATCGACCCGTTGACTTTTTGGATTTCCTGGTTTCATCCATGTTTATCCGCCGACCCCGTTCTCCAAAGGGGAGGCGCATGGGAAGGGCTTGTATTCGTCCTTGTCTTCGTGATGTTTATCAGCACCACTGATGTTGGGTGATGGGTTCGCAGCATCCGGGTCATCAGCATTCTACGTTTCAAGCTTGCCGTTCAACCCGGCTTGGAATGCAGTGATGCATTTTAGTCATGATTGTTATGACAGCTGCTGCTCATGCAGGGGATGCATAGTGATGATTGCCATCAGGATATCATCACGGTAACTGCTGGTGATGCTGGAGATGCGTAGTGATAATCATCAGGATCATCATGATCATCATAAGCAATGCTGCATCTGATCATCATCATCACTCTTCTCATCATCATCATGATGGTCATCATCATCTCTTTCTTGTTCTTATATGCATTTCAAAAGTAACGTTAGATGCATTGGCAATGCAGAGGATGCTACGATGATAGTTATCATCACAGTCCTCATCTTATCATCATTATCATCATGGTCATCATCATCATCTCTTACTAGCCGCAGCATCCGGATCATCAGCATTCTACGTTTCAAGCTTGCCGTTCAACCCGGCTTGGAATGCAGTGATGCATTTTAGTCATGATTGATATGACAGCTGCTGCGCATGCAGGGGATGCATAGTGATGATTGTCATCAGGATATCATCACGGTAACTGCTGGTGATGCTGGAGATGCGTAGTGATGATCATCAGGATCATCATGATCATCATGAGCGATGCTGCATCTGATCATCATCATCATCATCTTCTCATCATCATCATGATGGTCATCATCATCTCTTTCTTGTTCTTATATGCATTTCAAAAGTAACGTTAGATAGCATTGGCAATGCAGAGGATGCTACGATGATAGTTATCATCACAGCCCTCATCCTTATCATCATTATCATCATGGTCATCATCATCATCTCTTACTAGCCGCAGCATCCTTATCATCATTATCATCACGGTCACCATCATCTCTTATTAGCCGGCACTGGTGATGCCGAGGAAGCTACGACGATAGTTATCATCACAGTCCTCATCCTTATCATCATTATCATCACGGTCATCATCATCTCTCATTAGCCGGCACTGGTGATGCCGAGGATGCTACGATGATAGTTATCATCACAATCCTCATCCTTATCATCATCTCTCATTAGGGAGCACTGGTGATGCAAGGGATGCTACGATGATAGTTATCATCACAGGATGATGATGAGAAGAGTGATGATGATGATGACGACCATCATCATGATGATGATGAGGAAGATCCTGATGATGACTGATGGTCATCATCATCTCTTTCTTGTTCTTATATGCATTTCAAAAGTAACGTTAGACAGCATTGCAATGCAGAGGATGCCTCGATGATGAGAAGAGTGATGATGATGATGATGACGACCATCATCATGATGATGATGAGGAAGATCCTGATGACTGTGATGATAACTATCATCGTAGCATCCTTTGCATCACCAGTGCTGCCTAATAAGAGATGATGATGACCGTGATGACAATGATGATAAGGATGAGGACTGTGATGATAACTATCAGCGTAGCATCCTTTGCATCACCAGTGCTCCCTAATGAGAGATGATGATGACCGTGATGATAATGATAATAAGGATGAGGACTGTGATGATAATTATCATCATCCTGACGGTCATCATCATCTCTTTCTTGTTCTTATATGCATTTCAAAAGTAACGTTAGGCAGCATTGGCAATGCAGAGGATGCTACGATGATAGCTATCATCACAGTCCTCACCCTTATCATCATCATCTCTTATTAGCCGGCACTGGTGATGTCGAGGATGCTACGATGATAGTTATCATCACAGTCCTCATCCTTGCCATCATTCTCATCACGGTCATCATCATGTCTTATTAGGCAGCACTGGTGATGCAAAGGATGCTACGATGATAGTTATCATCACACTATCATGATGATGGTCGTCATCATCATCATCACTCTTCTCATCAAGCATCTCTTTCTTGTTCTTATATGCGTTTCAAAAGTAACGTTAGACAGCATTGGCAATGCAAAGGATGCTACGATGAGAGTTTTCATCCCAGGCCTCATCCTTATCATCATTGTCATCACGGTCATCATCATCTCTCATTAGAGCACTGGTGATGCAAGGGATGCTACGATGATAGTTATCATCACAGTCATCATCAGGATCTTCCTCATCATCATCATGATGATGGTCGTCATCATCATCATCACTCTTCTCATCACCATCCTGATGGTCATCATCATCTCTTTCTTGTTCTTATATGCATTTCAAATAACGTAAGACAGCATTGGCAATGCAAAGGATGCTACGATGAGAGTTTTCATCACAGGCCTCATCCTTATCATCATTGTCATCACGGTCATCATCATCTCTCATTAGGGAGCACTGGTGATGCAAGGGATGCTACGATGATAGTTATCATCACAGTCATCATCAGGATCTTCCTCATCATCATCATGATGATGGTCGTCATCATCATCATCATCACTCTTCTCATCACCATCCTGATGGTCATCATCATCTCTTTCTTGTTCTTATATGCATTTCAAAAGTAACGTTAGACAGCATTGGCAATGCAAGGATGCTACGATGATCATCACAGTCCTCATCCTTGTCATCATTATCATCACGGTCATCATCATCTCTCATTAGGGAGCACTGGTGATGCAAAGGATGCTACGATGATAGTTATCATCACAGTCATCATCAGGATCTTCCTCATCATCATCATGATGATGGTCGTCATCATCATCATCACTCTTCTCATCACCATCCTGATGGTCATCATCATCTCTTTCTTGTTCTTATATGCATTTCAAAAGTAACGTTAGACAGCATTGGCAATGCAGAGGATTCTACGATGATAATTATCATCGACGTCGTCCATCATCATCCAGGGGGGTGGGGTCTGATCATGACTCAAGTACGCAGGGTTGAAGTTTACAGTGAAACCAAAAAACAAGACCAAAATTTGACCGGGGCGAAAATTTAACATTTCACCCAAAAGAAACCAAAGAAACCAAAACCAAGGGCACTGTTTTCTTTTGCTCGAAAACCACAACTAAATCCGGGGGTCGGCGGCACTGGGCGGCAGCCCTTAAATTATTCATGACCCAAAAGACTGACCTTGTATTTCTGGGCCCTATAAGCTACTAAGTTAGTGGTTAGCCTCTCCGTGGATTCACACCACAGTTTCGCTGGCTGTGTGGTCGATCCACTTTGGCGGGCTTCGGCAGGTGGGCGAGATTTCGGAATTCCGGGATGTGGCCTCGAATTAAATGCGTGTTGCGAACTTCCCCCCTTCTGGTTTATACTCAAGGGGGCGACAACCGCCATTATTGTTTTACACATGTTGCTTTGCTTTGTCCCCTTGCTTCTTCCACCATTTCTGAAGTCTTCTCAGCCCCAAATATATACAGTAGAATACTCTTGTGTTCATAATCTTGCTCGTCTCTTTTTATTGAAGTAGATGCCCCCCCCAACACCCGAATCCTTTTAAAATAATCGCTACCCAACACAGTGCCTGGTACCCGTCAACATACAGATCTTGTTTTGGAAGCCATAATCACGCCTTTTGATTGGTTGCTTTCCTCTTCTTAAATCTTGGCAAGATAGAAAAGGCGCACCAAAACACGCTTTTGTCACTTGCCCCTTAAAAACCTGGAAATAAGGTTTGCACCTGTTGGGAGCTTCACGAAACATGGACCAAAAAGGGAAAACCAAAAGGTGGGCAAGTAACTCGGTTGCTTTCTGCGAAGCCCTGCTCAAAGTTTACTTAATGGTCTGATGGAAAACCCATTAGTTGGCAAAAAGTTGAAGTCCTAACATCCAAGCAAAATGCACCAAAGTTAAGTTGTCCGTGTTTCTGTGGGAGAGAGAGGGTGTGAAACACCGATCTCTGGTTCCTATCATTTGCGGGACGTGAGATGTCTGCGTTGCGGTGCGCTGTAAGATGACGGCACGTGTGAACGTTCACTTGCCCAAGGGGCCCGGCAATGAGAGGATCTCTAGTGATAGATTCCCTTCTAAACCAAGAGGGGCACATACCACATACCTCTAGTGATAGATTCCCTTCTAAACCAAGAGGGGCACATACCACATACCCTCCCCGAGACTAACATGGAAGCTCCAAGGACCTGTTTGTAAGACTTAGTTCCATTTACCCTTTGGCCTTCTGGGAGCTTCCATGTTAATTAGTCTGGGGGAGTGATACCTTGGCTGGAATTAGGACCCCAGCAAAAACATATATATATATATATATATATATCTTTTTGGCCTGGTTAGTGGAAAACAAAGGGAACCCCAAAAAAACGCCACAAAAAAAGGGGAACTAATTCGGGGGAAGATACTTCTGCAGCAAACGGAATCGGATTTTCCCCGTCTTGGCCGCGGCACATGTGCACCACCGCGAAGCCCACGAGCCAGCCGTGCTTCGCCGGGCCCCCTGGAGGCGAAAGCCGAAGCGAAGCACACCTCTGAAGGAACCCACAAGGGGGGGTCCAATGGTCCCAAAGCCTCCGTTTTCTCACCGGCTGAGTGGATGGCCCCAAAAAAAATCCAAACTTTTTGTTTGCCACTAAAATGGTCTTCCCAAAAAGTTTAAAAGTTCATGAACTCAGGAAGTGAGATGGTCCCAAAGCCTCCATTTTTTCTCGTTGGGAATGAACCTTGTGTTTTGCCCCAGCACTCCGTGGATTGGCCGATTCACCGATCACCAGCACGCAGAAAACTTGGCAAGCTTTCTCAACTTGACACATCGATTGGCGAACTCCAAATCCAAATGCCCAGGGAATGTCCCTGGGAAAAAAAGAATCGGCATCCTTTTCCTCGTTGGTTGACTTTAAAGGAATCGGAACCCTTGCAAAAAAAACTGCAATTTGCTTGTTCGTCCCCTGGGAAAAAATGAGAAAATATGTCCAGTAGTGAAAAACCAGTGCCTTTCAAGCCAACAGGGCGAAATCAAAAAATATTCTTAAGCAAATGGAAGCAAGGGAGCGTGTTCCGAGACTCCAGTCTTACTCTACAAATTGGAGTGTGCTTTGACTTCCTGAGGGGAAAAACTGGCCAAAAAATGGCCACTTTTTATTTACCACTCAACTGGTCCAAATCCAAACAAGTTCAGGGAGTGAGACAGCTAGTTCTGCTCCCTGCTAAAAGTTTAACTTTGAGTGGTTTAATGGAACGCCCATTTGGCAAAAAGTTGTTCAGCCCTAATATCTCTTGGCAAAGTGCACCAAAGAAACCGCTCCAGTCCAAGCCGCCTGGGCTCCGGCTCCTTGGCAAACGCGTCTCGCTTGCAACGCGCGCTCGCTTGCGCGTGCTCGCTTGCTGGGGCTCCCGGCCTGGGTAGAGGCAAATGGCGCTGCGGTGGTGGAAGAAGATCTGCTTCTCGTGCCCGGAGAGCCTGGATGTCTCGATCCCGCCCCACTCCACGGGGCTAGGGGTACAGGCTGGGATCCGGATGCATGAGAAAAACACCCATCGAACCTTGCAACTTGTAAATGCTGGAATTTCCAACCTTATAGTGGTGTTGAAAAAGCCACATGTTTCAAATGGTTGCAACATGTATCTTTTAAGGAGCCCTGTTTTAAGCTGGGCTTATAGAGGATAGACCCACCCAGGATTTTATAGCTGTGGGTTGCGAAATCCGCTATTTGTACCACCTAAGAATCCATGGTTCAAGCCAGGATTTGTCGGTATGCACCAGGGAAATCATCAGAAACCAGGGTTTCTTTGGCGGTGCGGACGGATTTCGTGCATCCACAGTAGCAATTTCTGATCGGACTCACTTGAGTGGCTCCGCCCCTAACGGGGCTAGGGGGAGCTGGGCTTATCCAGGGATAGCCCCCCCCCACCCCATAGCTTCCCCCAGGGTTACAGGAAGCAAAGTATCAATGCACTAAAATCACTGGTGTCCTTTTGGAAAAGTAGATCTTCAAAAGAAAAAAACAGGCAGCCCACAACCCGCGGAATGTTACAGGAAATTGAAACCCTAACCTCTCGGGTAAGGCTCGCCCGATGCCGTATCAGAGCCGTATCTTACGGGAATGAACCTCATGTTTTGCCCCAGACTTTGTGGATTCCCGATTCACGGATCACCAGGCAAAGATCCTGCGCAAAAGACTTGGCAAGTTTTCTCAACTTGACACATCGATTGGCGAACTCCAAATCCAAATGCCCAGTGGATGTCCAAGGGGAAAACATAATCGGCGTTCTTTTTCGGTTGGTCGACTTTAAAGGAATCGGAACCCTTCCCAAAAAAAGATATGAAACAAGGAAGCAATGCGCTGGGCAACTGGGTGATCCTGCGGAAGCGATTAACAAACGTGTGGTGCCCGGAACGGTAAGGCAAAGAAAAACCTGGCCACCCCAAGGGTCTACCGACCCCTCCAATGCATACCCCCGGACCCTCCAATGGAGAACCCCGACCAATTCCTAGGGGGCCCTTGAAAAGAACCAGTTTTGAAGGCCCAAAAACAATCGAGACCCTCAGGGCGAGTGAATTGCTTCTCTTGCTAACCCGCTTGGACACATGGTCGAAACAAAGTCTCCGGGCAACCGAAACAGCCTTTAACATCATGTTCGGGTGTGATGTTGTTTGTGGGCACCCTGTTTGGGATGGTTTTAAAGAGAAACAAATGGAACACCACAAATTTAAAGGGTGCCCCAATTTAGATCATTTTGCGACAAACTCATGTAACGCGTTAGAGCCGGTGCAATTCCAACATCAGGCGGCTCACTATAAGGACCCGCTTGGGCATGCGATCTTTGCTTCTGCGGGTGGCTAGCGGCACCCCTGAAAACCCGGGGCGTCTCCCCAGCTTGCCACCAGCCCTGACGACATCCTCCCAACAAGGCAATGCTTCCCAAATGCTAGTGTGGCTAGAGTCAACGATGTTTTTGGTTGCAGCCCCAGTAAGATGAACAGAACCAAACAGGTATACCAACTAAGCAAACCTTCACACCTCATGCCCACCTGGACATAGCACAACCCTTTAGCCTTCTGAAGCGTCCAGCGGAAAAATCCGAGATGCTTGAAACTGGATCGACAGGGATCCTTACAGTGAATACACCTGAACATTGCCTTGTAAATGCTGGCGTCCCTTTGTTTTGGTGGAAAACGCCATGCTTCAAATGGACAAACTGTATCCTTTAAGGAGCCCTGATCGAACACGAACAAGACTCGATCGAACATAAACTCAGTTGCCTGGAGATCACCTTTTGGCCCCATGACTTGAACTGGGTACCAAAACAAGAATTCTGTCAGACGCCGTCCATTCACGTCGGTTGCAAGTGAATCAAGTACAAAGTCTCCAAACTCAGCTTACTCCAATTGAATTTGATTCGTGGCTTGGGTGGTTAAGGAGGGGTCTCCCATTTCACAACCATGGGAAAGCACCCAGCGCGGGTCCCTGCCTACGGGAGCTCTCCAGGACGTAGGTGACATGCCTCGCTTCAACGCGACGCTCGTGGAGTCCTGTGCCTCTGCTTAGTTGCTTTCTGCTCCCCTGCTAAAAGTGACTAACTTTTAGTGGTTTAATGGAAAACCCATTAATTAACAATAAGTTAAAGTCCTAACATCCAAGCAACATGCGCCAAAGTCTGGTATTGGATGTGCCCAACAGTTGCAGACTGAGTTCCAGTAGAATCGCCCACTTGCAGGTCCAAAATCCCTACCCATAGAGGCCTTAGAGGGGGAGAAGGGGTAGTGGATTCTCATTCATCCATTCATCTAGTATTCCCTAAGCAACAAACCGGTATGAATGGAACCATCAATCGAGATCTTCAGGCGTCGACCTCCATTTCCCTCCCCTCCTGTGATCCCAACCGGAAGTACGGTGGATGGTTTGCGAAAGCCAGGAATCGAACCACTTGGAAACCATGGTTGGAACAAAAAAGCGTTTGGTTACCCTTTTACTCTTGGTATGGGCTTGCGAAAAAACTGACTGTTTTTTGCAAACCCCCAGTAAAAATGAACAGAACCAAAAAACTAAAAAACCAAAAGACATGCCAAGAACAGTGAAGGTTACTTTATGTTGGGGAATCATCAGAAACCATGTTAAAATGGAGTTCGGCCATCCACAGTACGTCTTCAACAAAAAAACAAGCCCCCCCCCCCAGCGTGGTTTGTGGAAATCATCCTTAGACCAAGCTTTCAGATTGCCAAAACCTAAACAGGGTTTCTAAACCTCGTACCTGACCTCAAATGGGCCAAGCTGCATGATGTTTAAAGCCACCAACAAGGGGGGGAGAAAAGAACCCCGGACCTCGATTTGAAGGTAGCGTGATCCTCCAGCAACCTGGGTTTCTTGACCATGAGGCATAATATAGAGAACCCCTTTGCCTGGCAACAGGAGGTTTCCCAAGAGAAAACAAATCCCACACGAGTTGCCTGTTGAGGCCGCATACTTTGCTTCAAGCCTCCCCCAACGCCAATTGTCATCTCAACGTATTGCCGTCGTTCCCCTCAAGCAGGCACGGGTCAAATTATGGTATACCTCGACATGCGGTGGATGCCCTACATAATAAAAACAAACAAAAAAAACACCGGAAGGGAACAAGGAAACCTGACAAAACAAAACCGACATGTTACATGTTGTTGATTGTGGATTGATTTAGGTGGTTGTTCACTCAAATGCAGATAATGCCAGCATTTAGGGCAGTGGTCTGGCGGAAGTGAACCCTGCCTGAGGGACCACATGAAAGACCACAGCTGACTTTTGGCGACTTCAACTGAGTAAGTCTGCCAATTCAAAGACGCATCCTGTGCTAGGCGATGGCCGTTCAAATTCATCGTTGTACTCTAGAGCCCCTGCCACCTGTTGCAAGAGCATGATTTGGTTCAGCTCAGTTGCGCAAAGGACCCAAGTAAAAGATTAACCTTTTTTGGGCCATGACGAAACATGGATCAATGAGGGGAGCTAAAGGTCAAAAGGTTGGCTTTGGGCAAGTGAGTGATTTGGTTGAGTCTCATTTGGCCCACGGGGCCCTTTCAACACAAGCTGGACGTGTTTGCAGCCCACTAAACATGCAGACAACACAACAAGCAAGCACACCTACCAAGAACGGTGGAGCATTGGTCCAGCTGAATCTATTTCATAAACCTAAGACCAAAACAAATGGACCCTTGGTGAGGTTGAACCCTTCCATCTTTGGGTCGCACACCATCCGACATAGTGGCACCACTGAGCGGGGACAATTCATGCACATCCGGGAAAAAATAAAATAAAAACGTGAGCGAGACACCCATTCCCCAAACCCCAGAACCATGATTGAAACCAGAACCGTTTGTTGGTCTGTATGTTAAAAAATCGAATCATACTCCCATCTCTCTCTCTCTCTCTCATTCCATGATTCCAGAAAGAGAGAGATAGAGGGAGAGAAAATGGCTGAAACTCATTGGGAATTGAAACCATAAGCTTGGTTGGTCTTTCTGTTGGGGAACGGACTCACGGATTCTGCACCGGTGCAGAACCAGCGGATGACTCGCAATCCGTGACCCACCGGTTCCATTTAGCCGAGTAGCGCGTCGTCGTAGCCCGAAGGCTGGCCCGGGGCTCACTCGATTCTGTAAAACATCCCTCTCACTAAGAAAGATTTCCACCTTTTAGATGAGATGTCATAGGCCTCATGGAAAAATAGATGGGTTTCCCTGGTAAATGGAAGAAACCACATCTAATTCTAGGGCCCTCTTTATTTTTTAGGCAAACCAACCAAAATGAAACCTATGTGAGATGTAAAATCACCAAAGGGGATATTCTAGGGGTACCTTCCTTTTCCATTCTTTCTAGGCATCCTTCTTTCCCAGACAACCTCCGGAAACCCAGTTGGAAAACGGCGATCGGTTTTGAAAAGAACCATGATTTGAAAGAATGGGGAATCAAATATGGGGAAACCTTTTTTTTTCTCGGAACCCCACACCTTGAAACTGAAACACGGGTTGTTTGTCCATCACGGTTGCGCTTCAGCAGTCTGGCACAAGGGAAGCCCTTGCCCTGGAAGTACCTGTAGGGGGGGCTTATAAAATTATCTTCTATGGTTCCGTATGGTTTGCGGTTCGGCAGAGCTCACTATGATGTGCTGCGGAACCACTCAAATGGTCCTAACCCAAAAAGTTTCAAGAACGGAACTCAGGAAGGAAGTGAGCCGAACATTTTCACTCAAAGTGTTTGTTCGTGTTCGAACCATCCCTCGTTGACCCCTCAACCGCCCACTGCAAGCTGCAATACTGTGAATGGACAAAATCAAGAAAACCACGTTGAAACCATGGTTGACACCATAACGTTTGTGTTGGTATTTACGTTAAGGAATCGAATCAACCAGGGTTTCGGAACGTCGGTGCGTTTTGCAGATTGCTCAACCCCAATCCCTGGGTCATTCCCTGAGCACTGACCAGCAAGAAGGAACGGAAATGCCGAAATGCCTTGAGGTGCAGACTCTCTGGTACTTGTCAAGCTTTACTATTCCCCAACCTTAGATTCCAAGATAATATGAAAAATTTGAAAAAGGCTTTTATGCCATGAAGACTCAATCATCCATCCATTCCTCTGTCCATGTTTTCTAGCCTTCCTCTCTATCCAAGATTTGTGTTGAAACGTGGAGTGTTGGCTCGGCCACCCACTAAAACAGCCAAGGCCATACATCAAAGAACCAATGAACGTGCCGATAATGACCCTTCAGCCCATCACACATCAACAAAGACTCACCAACAAATTGCCGAACTGGCCAGTGTAGACACCCATTGTTTGAACAGCTACGTGGCTTTTTCCCTGCACAAACATTTTACTTTTACTGGCTAGTGGGAAAGCAAACATTTCCACTAAACAGTTGAAGGTCAAAAGTCCAGTCCAACAGCAGCCAAAACACATCTACTGGAATGTAACTCGTGCCAAATTTCTAACGTTTAAACAAGTTGTTCGGTCAGAAGCTTTTCGGGAATCCCATATTTTGACACACCTGTATATTAACTACTCCCAGTGATAGATGCCCTTTAAGCCCAACGGGGAAACATACATCTTCGCACTTCCTAACCACACTTTTTGCTTACCACTAAACTGGTCTCCCCAGTTAGTTTTTAAGCCCAACAGAACTCAGGGAGTGCGGGATGCACAAAATCCGTTCGCATCACTGTTCAGAATCTTTGGTTTCAAACATTCCAAAGTCAACAACGAACAAACGTTATGGCACCAAAACACCACGGTTTCCAAGTGGTGCGAGCAGCGGATTTCGATGGATCTCGCAACCATCGGTAGCTTCTATTTGCTTAAGCCCCCTGGAAAAAAAAAACATATATTTCCAGTAATGAAATCCATTCCCTTTAAAACCAACAAGGGAAAACATATTGTTATACTCAAACTCAAGGTAGGGAAATGGAATCACAGATCTCGCCGAATCCGCGCATCCCAATCCGCGAATCCCCGCGAATGCCCACACGACTCTCCGCGAATGCCCCCACGAATCCGCCGAATGCCGCCGAATCCGCCGGCGGCCGCGAGCGCCTTGAGGTCGCCAAGGGCAAAGGCGCCCTCCGCGTACTCGGAGCAGGGGCTCTTGGCCGGGATGGGGCAGTTGATACCCGTCAGAGTACCTCCGGGGGTGGGGGTGGGAGGGTGGGAGGGTGGGAGGGTGGGAGGGTGGGAGGGTGGGAGGGTGGGAGGGTGGGAGGGTGGGAGGGTGGGGGTGGTTTTTTAACTTTCCAACCCAAACAATGTGGTAGCAAAAGACCTTTTGCGCAGCCCCTAAGAAAAAAGGAACAGAACCAACAAAAACCGAAAACCTAACATGCCAAGAAAAAAGGGTGACACTCCTGGAGGGACACTGTCTGCCTCCATCATTGCGTCCAAACAGGCTTTGATCGGTTTGATACTCTCCTACAATCTTGGTTGACGTTGGGTTTGGGGAGCAACAATTTTCAGACTCTCGCTGTGAAGTGGATGTGGACTTCCACCACTAAGCCATAAGCAAACATGTGTCAAATGCTTCGCATTTCACCGCTGAAACCAGCTTGGAGACCTCAGGGGTCGATGAAACCGGTCGCAGCTGTGAGCCAGTCTCATGGAACCCGAGTATCCGGCTTCCCCACTAGTGGATGGCTATCTCAGAACTCTGGAGACCTGAAAATCCAAAGCCCAAATGGCATCCCCGAGTAAACGAACAAAAATGGAAAAACATGAAAAACAAGTCTGGCTTTCGCCCGTTACCCGCCCCATGCGAGCTCCTCATAGAAGAAAAGAAGAAGATCTCGGCGCGTGGTTGCCTAAATGAGACGCACCACGTTTCCGTCTTCGGCTTCGGATTGGCCAAGTGGCCATGCTGCACCACATCCTCCATCTGGCTGTTGCCTGGGATTTCATACGCGTCAGTCAAAGTGTCTGTCAATCACATGTTTTTGACATCGCCATCCCGTATGATTCACCCCCTCCCCCAAACCCCCTCCGCCTGATGTGCCGAAGAATTCGCTTAAAATCGTTGAAATGGAGGACAGTTAGGACATGGTTGAATAGAGGACATCTCAAAATATATTTCAATAAAGGACATCGTTGAAATTATAAAGGCCCCTTGCCCCGCAACCCCAAGCAATCGCGCCTTGAACTTTGCAAGATTTCCCTCACGATGAGCCAGCAATGATTTCGCGACGAAATGAGTACCATTCCCTGGCCCAATTGCCCAGGTTGCACCGAATGCATCATCTAGAGGAACCTTCCCTGACAGAAATGGCTGTGGCTCAAAAAAGTTACCCAAAATGGCCTTGGTGAATGGAAACAAAGGACAACACTTGTCTAACCCCATCTCTAATTTTGAGCCACACCGAAGTAACACACAGACATAATACACCATCAAGTGCTAAGGCAGCTGGCCCTGTCCAAAAGACCTGGACGCAAGTTCGATTCGTGAAGAGACTGGGTTTGTCACGTTTTGTGCATCAGCTGATGGATTCTTGTCCGCGTTGCCACGGTTTGCCTCTTTGAGCATCATGGTATGATCCTGGCACTCTGCCTGGAGGATGGACGATCTGTACGCTGGATGCGTGGAGCAGTGGTTCGAGCCAAGCAGAATCGACTCTCCCGGAGTCTCTAACGCTCAGGCTCAGGTTGCACATTGTTATTTCTGGATTTGTGAAGGCGGTGTTAGATCAACCATCACCTCCTGCCAGGGCTTGCTGAAACGAGCTTCCAGGGCCTTCTTCAGGGCAGGAACTTCTCGGAGCAAAGTCTCGTCCTGCGTGTACCCATGCTTCTTTTCGTCTTCTTCTTGACCGGTTATGGGCGCACGGTAGTGGTTTAGGAACGCCACGTCCTCTGGAAGAATGCCGGCCGAAACCGTGCCATTCGCCCAGCTTGTGGGCCAGTGACACCAGAGAGAATCCACCGCGTTGGGGTTGAGGAAGTACTTCGGATAATTGGGCTGTGAGCCTGCTGCCCGCCGAGTGGACACAATGTCCAATTGACCAGGCGGTGGCAATTCAAAGCGGTAGCGCGAAAGCTGGAATGAGTAAATCTCATCCAGCGTCTTGGACATGTTCCCCGCGACGTGGCCCCAAAACTCGGCCATGAAGTGGGGCGACTGCAGCCCGTTATGCAGTTGGCGCTCTCCCAGCCTCAGGTACTCGTCCATATCGATCGTCGGTGACACCAAGCGGGCATGATGCTTGGCCCGATACAAGCAGTCATTGGCAAACCAAGCTTGTGTGGAATAGTACACGTTGGGATCGTAGGGTGGACTGACGCGATGAGTGATGTGCACGCGGGTCGCAACCCCGTCTTCCAAATATCGGCGGAACACTTGGAGAAATTGATCGTCCATATCCTCGTTTGTGTACAAGAGGAAGTGGCTCACGCCGAACATCAGGTGGTACTCGAACCACTGGGCCGCTCTGGCGCTCTGTGCCATGCCATCCATGCCTGGCTGGTTAAAAGCTTCGGGGACACAAGCTAGAACTTCGTAGCTGCCGAGCATGCCTGGCGCTTGCTGCGTGCTGATCTCGCCCATAGCCTCGCCTTGATCTTTTGCACCATGAGGCGATACCTACCATCTGCCGCTTCCTGTGGCCACGGGCAGTGGAAGGCTATGATAGACGGGAAGAAGATCTCTGTCTGATTCCCACCGCGCACCTGGAAGGCAGCCTTGTGGCTTCCATCCATGGAAGCGCAGAAAAGTTGGTGTGTTGTGGCATAGTCCCACAACTCTTGATCATATGCATGCAGCAGAGCAATGTAGTTGGTCCCCTTGCCGAAGGTGGGCACTGCGCTCAGAAATTGCAACGTGAGATCTCCCCAAGACATCGGCGAAGGCGGAACCACCGCGGCCAAATCCCGAGGGCTTTGCCACAAAACCGGGACGGGGCCCATTGTTTTGGCCTGGAGCAGCCCAACATCATCACAGCTGCCATCAGCGCACGCAGGCGCGAAGGAAGCTGTACACAAGGCAAACAACATGGAAAACCCCCACAGCCGGGACAGCATGGCTGAAGGGCAAATGAAAACGTTTCACTTGGCGCTGTGTCGGCTGCAGAAAAGTTTAGCAGCTGGTTCCAAGCAGTCTGGGGGCACGTACTTGCCATGTAAGGAAAAACGGGGGCCGTTTTGAGGGGACTTTGTTTAATTGTCCGGCACCGGACAAGGAACTCCTCCCATTTGCTGTGACGCCCCGGCCCCACGTTTTCCTTCGGTACGTGGCAAAAACGTCAGCCGCTGCAAGGCCACCGTCCGCCGAGCAGCGCATCTCGGACATGTCCACATTCGGAGGCACCTGGCGCCCCGACATTTGGAGCCCTTTGTGGCATGCCCTCCACGGGTCCCACGGGCTCCGGAACGAAAATGGGGCCCTTCCCCAACAGAGCTCCACTTCAGCTAGTGGAAGGGGACCGCTTTCTTCGCAATGGATGGCATGACTGCTTGATCAATGCTTTATCACTGTCAAAACGCAAGGCTACAGAAACTGTCCCAAAACATGCATTCGCCATAGCCAGGCGTGAGGTGACATGGATATGAAGCGTTCACCTTCGTCCAACATAGGCTACAAAAGACTTATCTAAAAGAGGACATATCTCGAACACCCAAGAAACCCTAAAATGACGATTCCCAGTATAAATGGCAACAAACAATGATTCCCCATGGTTGCCCAGTGATGCAGGACTTCATCCATCCACAGAATGATGAAAAAACACCAACCGTCCATCCATCCATCCATCCATCCATCCATCCATCCATCCATCCACCCACCCACCCACCCACCCACCCACCCAGACTTAGTTAAAAACAAAGCCCTTCGAGCAAAACAAAAAAACCGGATCCACAACTAGGTCCTCCAGTAGAGAGGTTAGAATAAGGGTGCCCTTTTTGTCTGTAGTCTATTTTAGTAGCGGAACCCTCCCCCCAAAAGGGTAAAAGGGCACTGGGGGACCTAATCTAGCAACGAAACCTTGGCCCAGCGCGCTCGCCTCGCCTCGCCGTGGCGCGAGGCAACCGCAAGGGCGGCCAACATCTGCTGCTGCACGGAGCGGCACCGGGGGTCGTAGGTGATGGGCTTGATCACCACCTGCGCCACCCAAACAACCCAAGGGAAAATGGCCAACTCACAAGCAATGAACAAAAACACGAGCCTACAGGCCTTAGGCATATTTTCCAGGAAGAAAATGGGCCAACTTACAATGGAAACAATGGAAGCCACAAGGAAACCCACCGAAAACATGGTGCATATAACATGACAGGCCCCAATTGGGCATGAACGAACCACACCTATAGGCCTGAGGGATGTTCCCGGTAATTCCCACATTTTTTGTTGCGGGGGAGTGGTTTGGAGGAAGTTGGAGCAAAGACCCCCCCAAAACCCCAAGTGAAAATGTAGCCTTCAAATAGGGGTTTAGGCACCGCCTCTTGTTCAAAGGAAACCACAAGGAAACCAACGCCAAACATGGTGTATATAAACTTGTCGCAGGTGAATGTTAAACTGAACCAAGGGGAAATGGTGTACACAACCTTCATGTGAGGGGACATGGTGCATACAACCTTGACGTGGGTCAGTAAGAAATGGTTGGTTTCCTCGTAGTTTTCCTTTGAAACCAACCCCAAGAGGAGGTACCTAAACCCCCGCTTTGTAGTGGGACATGTTCGCTTGGGGGTTGGGGGGTCTTTGCCCCAACATCCTCCAACCCACTATATACCCCCAAAATGCGTTGTTATACTTGGGTTAGACAGGATGCATACATACCCCAACAACCTTAGACCCAAGGGAAACTTGTAGACACAACCCT